TGTCGGGGCCAACTTCACAGACCTGTAGGTTTGAATTACATAAATTAGATTTAGAATATTGTTGTGGATATCGTGAGTTAAAGTGTAGAGAATTATATCATATCTTTATAGATGTATTTTCCTGATGTAAATAGTGTTAAGTCTGTAGTATTTTATATTAGAAGTGCGTTAAAATTAGATTAAGATAATTGAAAAATAAATATATAAAGCCATGAAAAAATGTGAGACTAACTCTGCTGGGGCTCGAAACCCAGGACCTATCAACCTGGTGAGAAGCGTGGAATTGAAAAGAATTAAAAAGTTGTATTCTTCTTAATAGGCGAATTTACCTCGGAGCTCTATTCCACGGGAACCACCAAAATTTCAAAAGAATCTATTATTCTGAATTGACTTCACAAAAATATGAAACGCGCATTCAAAAGAATCAGAATCTACAGCAAATCAGTAGAAATTTCTATTCCACTGAATTGACTCACTACCACTCAAGATTCCACTAGAAAGTGAGGTTAGGTTTCAAAACTTGACGTTAAACATTGAACACATGAAAATTCCTTTCAGTACACTGAGAAACCTTTGGGACTGTAGCGGGACAACGTATGTGACAGCAGCTCCACTATGGTTTTGGTGCGCTGCAGGACAATTTTGGGCGCGTGACAGTCCAAAATGTTGGTGAGCAGCTCACAAAAGTAGTGGGGATGCCGTCTTTGGTTTGCAGCTGAACAACTTTTGGAGTGTCACGCGCCCAAAATTGTACCGCAGCAACCCAAAAGTATAGTCCTGTAGCGTTCCACCAAAATGGTCAGTAGTAGCCTATCGAAAGTCTGCTGCTGACCTAAAGGTCTCTCAGTGTAAGAGCATTTTATATTTTATCGTAAGCACTTTGCGTTTTTTAACCATATTTTCACTAGTTTTAATATTTAATTTTAATAGTTCAGCACTGAAATTACAATGAAATTTACACGACGCGAAACATAACTGTCACTGCGTTTTATTTTAAGACAATAACTAGAGGAGCTCCTACAGACAATTGGAAAGATTAGGCTTTTCTAAATTGTTTGTCAAAAGTTGTATTCCTTTTAATGCGCTTCTGAAATTCGAAGCAGTCTATTGAGAAGAATAAACATTTCATATTTACTCGTCGAACATTCTATTATTTTGAATTGACTACCTAGAATCGTTAGAAGTCAATCCAGTCAATTCAAAAGAATAGAACTCCATATTTTTTTCAAGAACTTTTAATACCATAAAACTTTGCGCATTAAGAAAAATAGAAAATTTGGATTCTTTTCTATCTGCAAATCGACGTGAGCAATAGAGAAGAATTGATTTTTCTAAAATTATGATGGTTCCCGTGGAATAGAGCTTCGAGGTAAATTCGCGTATTCAGAATAATTCAAAATTCTCGTTTTCAAGCATATTTTCTGGAAATTGAATTCTTTTCTATTCTACGCTTCTTACACAGAAAAAAGTGAGTGTTATTTTAACACTGAATTCGGTGTTAAAAGTGTCTGCATCAAACTTTAGCTCGGAAGTGTTATTTTAACACTGAAAATAAGGTAAATTTTCTATTATAGAAAATTTATCCTCACTAAAATTACCCTACCAAAATTTACCCGCATCAAAAACAACACTCGCTTTTCTCTGTGTACCGGGAATTGCCCGTTGTGGACCTCTGTAGCTCAGTGGAAGAGCAATCAACCGGCAATTGATAGGTCCTGGGTTTCGAGCCCCAGCAGAGTTGGTCTCAAATTTTTTCATGGCTTTATATTATTTATTTTTTAATTATTTATTGATTTGGCGGTGACGTCTAGGTTTAGATACCGGTACTTCTAGAATTTGAATCTTGGTCGATATAGTAGGTTTCAACTTCACATTTGGTGAAGGAACTTACTAATGAATTGTCAATTGTTTCGTGAAAAATTCAAATAGATTAAGATATTTTAGAAATTGTTATTAAAATTATTTTATACTGTTGAAAGCGACTCTTTGGTATGAACTTGTAGTTCAAAACAAATATTAAATATATATATATATCTAATATATATAATCCTTTAGTAATATTTTTACTTATATACTTATACACTGAAAAAAAATTCGACAGAATGTGCTTTTTACTCAGGCAATTTTTGCCTAAGAACAAAAGCAATACACGCAAAGCAATTGTTTCTTTTAAAAAAAAGAAATTTTTGCCTTTTTTAAAGGCAAAAATTTTAAGTAAGGCAATTTTTACCTTTTTTAAAGGCAAAAATTGCTTTTTTTAATGAAACAATTGCTTTGCGTGCATTGCTTTTGTTCTTAGGCAAAAATTGCCTGAGTAAAAAGCACATTCTGCCGAATTTTTTTTTCAGTGTAATATTAAAATTTCTTTCTAAATATTCTAATTCCTGTTACTTCAGAATAATATAAAGTAATAATATGATTTTATAAACTTTCTTAAAAATGATAATATTAATTAAACTTAATTAAAGGAAATGAATTTATCATTAGGCAATTAAATATTAAAGGTGAAAGAAGTTAGCAATTTTCCGAATCAATTTTACATATTTATAATATGCAAAATAATATATTAATTCATAAATTACTTGTTTTCTTCCAGTAGCTGTAGAGTCGAGAGCGAGTTTTACTTGCCAAGACAATCTGGCCAGTCCTGAATGAGTGACTGGCCAGTTTCACTAGATAAAAACAATTCTCCTTTGTGAACAGTACTTTTGTCAAGTCACTGTCCAGAAAATCTGATCATAATAGTGATAAGAATTTCTTTCCAGACACTGGCCAGTCACTGATTTGAAGAATTATTTAAGATTCCACCTAGAAAAACTGGTCCACCACTGATCAGAAAAACTTGCCGAATCCTATTAAAAAAGAAACTGCTGACACAGAAACTGACCAGTTACTGAGGAAAAACACAAAGCAATAGCCCCATTAAAATACACTCTTAGTCAATCATTTATAATTAGATATTAAAAATAATTTTTATGTTCCACACGGTCAAAAACAGAAAAGTCTAAAGTAACTTTATATAAAAGTTATGATCGTTTTACTGTCACATTACCAAAGTTTAAATTTTTCTAAATTTTGACAAGATAAGCCGTCAAGTCTCTGACAAGTGACTAAACAGTTTATCTGGTCATGATTTCTGATCATTACTTCTGACAAGTTACTGGCCAGAAATTCTGGTCACAATCGGAATAGAACTTCAGTTCATAAACTTGTAGCTATGATAAGTTACTATCTAGTCACCGTGGCTGCGTGGCAACGCACATGCGTTGTGTCTCCAGGGTCTAGGGTTCGATCCTCATGCGTGCGAATTTTTTATTCTTAGATTTTAGTGTTATTGGTAAAGTAATTGTTCATTAGTCTTAAATATTTGAATAATCACAAAAATATAAATAAATATGTAATTATAACCAAAATAAAAAGAGCCAGGAAAAATTAAATTTTATTCTAGATTTTGAGCAGAAAACTGTAAGTTACTTGCCAGTCACTGGCCAGATAATCTAACCAGTGACTGCTAAAGCAGCGCGTTACATTTCTGATCAATCACTTGCCAGATTTTCTGGTCAATTACTGCCCAGAATCTAGAAAAACTTCCCAGTGACTGGTCATTATAGAGTTGAAATTTCTACCTGGGACATTAGAATATTTCATGTTGAAACTTCGTTGCCAACTTTTACAAAGTCGGTCCAACTTCTCGTGCCAGAGGTTGGGCCAACCATACCGATGATAACGGTTCACCGTCTAATGGCGACGATGGTTGGCCCGACAACTCATAAGGAAGTTGGCCCTACTTAAAATGCATATGTTGTGCCAACCATACATTTCAATTGTTGGTCCAAAGACTAACGTTAATGTCAGTCGAAACTGAAAGTCTTTTAAACTACGTTTCGATGAGTTGTGCCAACCTTTGTCGCCAAAGTTGGCCCGACGGTTGGTTAAACTCTGCATGTAATGGTTGGCTTGCAAAGTCGGGCCAACTGTGGGCACTAGTACTTGCGAAAGTTGGTCAAACTTTGGCAACCAAAACTTCGCTTGCCAAAGTTAGGCCAACCTTGGTCCAACCTTCAAACCCTGGCGGCTAACCCAAATTCGCACCTGGGCTATAACAAAAGTACAGCTAGACAATCTTTGTTGTGGAAAATGTTGATAGAAATGTCCTGGGCCCGAAAAATTAATGTATATCTTTTACAGTTTCCCCTTAATTTTTTTGGATATATATGAAACCTCTAGAAGTGGGCTAAAAATTTGCCAAAATATTAACGTAATAATGTAGTACAAGTTTATATGGTAGAATTCTCTAGGAAATGTTATCTAGAGACATTAAAATTTCAAGTGTAAGGAGTTTAGGATGAATTTAAAAAAACAAGTAATTTACAAATTTTTCAAAATTTTTTAATTGTCTTAATTTTTTAAAAGGTATCATATTTTTATAATTTTAAAGTAAAATTAATTTATTTTGGTAATAATTAAACATTTTATCAAGTACCCCTGGTGTTTAAAAAATACTTTTAATGTGTTTTTAAAAAGACTTGAACAGCATGACATGTAGAAATTAGAAGATTGGAAATAAAGTCATCAAACAATTTAATTACATCGTCAACTGTTTTTCTAGAAATCAAAGGATTGTTACACTCTGCTAACGTAAACTTAACCCGTAGTTAAAATAAGATCTTCATTTGAACTTGATCACTTAGGTTTTAGAAATTTAATTCATCATAATTGTTTTAATACAATTAAATGCAAATTTACTGAAAAATTAAATTTTGTAACCAATAAGATACATTTTCACTGGTAGAGTCTTTTTTTCGGTGTCCATATATATCTTATGCTATATTCTGTATTTGAAATAATTGTAGAAACTGGTATTTTTTCGATGCATATGGCTAACCAAAGCCAAACCTGACATTTTCCGAAATAATTAAAAAACGGTTTTAACAAAAAACAAATATTAATATCTTATTATATTTTAATACATTTTTTAAATTTATTTAATTTTCTTTCAGATTTGATAGCTAATAGGCTGTTTTTGGGAGGCGCTACGAGAGGAATTTAGGTGAGCTATTTCATTAAAATTTATAATTACAATAGCTCCTTTATCGACATCTTCGTGGTCGACTGTGTTGCTTCCATGTTTCATCTCTTCAAAGAAAAATTGATTCTAAGAGATTACTAACTTCTTCCACCTTTGATAAATTCCTACCGAGTGAAAAAATATTATGGATGTGAAATGTTGGGGATATAAGAGGATATATGCCAAATGCATTAATAGATTGGAAACCTTTATTTTCCTCAAGTATAGTAAACATAAAGCATTATAATTGTAAATCTATTAACATATCATTTAAATTTTGAAAAAAATTTCATGCTATTTCACATGTAAAAATACATTGTGTCAAGTTTAGTAGAGACCCCCCCTCCCCCAAAAAACGTGACATCATTTGTGAATGCTCCCATATATAAGAACCATCATTTTGAATATTTGAAAACTGATGTCAAATTCGGAATCTTGCATCGTGTGAATTCAATACTTTTCTGATTAGAAGAATTGAGAATTTTTAAATGGGCCAAAAAATACAAAGTGGCGAACACTTTGAAAAAACTCAATCTGGAAAACCTGCTAACGTTTTGAATGCAGCGCCCTTATTTGTCAAAAAATGGTCTTGATTTGAGCACAGTATTATATGAGGAATACAACCTAGTTGATAAGGCCAGGGATGTATTAAAGAAATTTTTTAGGATCGCAGATGTGATAAATGAATCATCTCTTATCAACTTCAAATGGCAATACATTATGAACACCTCTTTCAGGATTGTGCATCTCGATTTGTTCAACACTTTCCACCTCATGATCACAGTTTAATCACGTTAAAAAAATACATACTTAAAACTGATTTTTAAGTGGTTATCTAACCCACTAACAGTTGGGGTAACTAATCTGCATAAATAATAATAAAACATAACTAATCACAATTATAAGTGGATACTCTTTCGAGATTATCGTTAAAACTGGTATTTCGGCAAAGTAGGAGAACTACTATCTATGTGATCATCTCGAAAGAGAAGCCATGTACAGTTATGATCAAACTTCACTTGGTAAATTCATTTAATACTTTAACTTTAATGACATTTGAAATCTTAAAATTGTATTTAATATTAGTAAAGACGCAATTTTAAGTTTTGAATCCTGATATTATATTCATATTACTGACCCACAAAAGAGTGTGGGGGTTCGAAAATCAGAATATTTTTCTGCATAAGATCTCGTTTAGACTTCCTATCTTTGTACTTTATATCTCTTTTAAGCATCCACCAGGAATCAGCCATCGTATTTTCGTCCCATCTTCCCTAATAACATGTTTCCATTTTCTGTATGTCATGGTAAAAACGTTCAAAATATTCCAGATTTTATAGTCTTTAATGATTTTTATCCCTGTAGGCATTGGGACATGGGATGTCTGTATGACGTCCTTAGGACATTTTGTGATGTAGAGATTATTGATGATCCAAATTAATATATTTAAATATTCAATTCGAATCATTTATATCAAATCCCGTCCAAGAAATACTCTGCTACTCGCAACTAACCCTTTTCTCAAAATTCACAAAATTTAATCGGGGAGTTCTTCCAAGCCGATGCCGTGATGCAAAACGTTCCTCTGAACAACGAACAACCAAAACGAACTCTGGTACTCTCCTCTGGTCCTCAATGAACGAAAACACATTAAAACGCACATGTAACAAAAAACAACTATTTATTAATAACACTCAAACTCGAAATAATTAAAAAATCCTACAAAATAATTAATCAAACTCTTAAATATCTATCGATTATGACACTCGTCAAACCCGCGTCACGACTTCTTGAAAACCCGCAAGTCGAACCATCTGATCGTCCCCCAGTAGACTTCCTCATTACCAAGTCGTTTCCTTGTTTTTCCTTCGCAATTTTCGGAAGAACCCTTCTTCCTTATCTGAAAGAGACTTGGAAAGGGTCGCTGATCATCTGACGTACGCTGACAATTAATCATGCGCAAAATCATTCAAATTCAGATTTCACGAATACCACAGCTCCTTACTCGCGGATACGAAAGAAAGGTACAAGAGACTTGACAAGAAACGAGACAGACCTATGATAAGAAAGAGACAAACAAACGACTCTCTACACTCTGAAAATGCTTTCCCTGCACATGAGAGATTAGTCAGAGTAAGTAACAAAACATATCTCTATATATAGTAACGTTACATATTTTTAGGACATAAGACATGTCCCCTGAAATCAGTATAAATACCAGTGATGAATCTTTATGTTTTGTAAAATTCTTACAGAATTCTAAGTTCGCTGTCGATAAGAATAAACATTAGTATCGGTTTCAAAAGATTTTTTGTTCAATAATGAAGCTAAATACTCTGAAACATCTTATGGTGAAGCAAAATTTCAAATAAGTTCATTTAATTCTGGCAGTGAAGTAAATGATGTAATTTTTGTTTTTTCATTGTATGGAAAAAAATCTGTTTCATATCTTTAGTATTTTTGGAGACAATAGTAATAAATAATTAATTTAATTTCATCCCTTTTTGATGAACCTGAAATTGGCGGTGTTACTGATGAATCAGTAATATAAACAATTGTACTGTATACGCTGATAATTTTAAAGCCTTAAAAATTGTTTTCCATTTTTCATCATAAATTTTATTCTCATAGATCTAATTTAATACTTACTAGAAAATGTAGTTTCGTACTCGACATCAGCAAAATTATCAACCGAAGTAGAGCTGCGATCGTATAAAGACGAAGATTTTGGTCCCATTTGCTTACCTCTCCAGCCATCGATTCTGGATTTCCGAATCCCTGTTTAACATACACTGTTAAAAATTGGACTCTAACTTTACATCAATAGATTGAAATTCTATGGATTTAATTCACACTTTGCTCTGTCATATAAGCTACTCTGTGCTACTCAAAAATGGCGCTTTTAGATAGCAGACGACATATTGCGAGAGTGAAACTATTCATTTGCTTGACCATATGAAAATGGCTACTCCCGTACTGCAAACAGTTTTAACATTTTTAATAATTCAAATCGTTGTGATTATTTAAAATTAGTTACAATTAGTTAAAAGCTCAAATTTTAGATACGTTTTAAGTTTAACAATAGTTACTACATAAAAGATAAATATATTACGATTTTGTATTTATGTAGAATTTTGCGTAAACCTAATAACATTTTTCTTCGTTACCGACGGAATAGATTTTAAAATTATTAGCAAAATCATAGAACAGTGTCAAGAACAGAGAAGTATTATATTTGCTTGTCTGTATAATGAACAGGCGCAAACGTCGAAAGTATGGTGTCGAATGTTTACCGAAATGTTCGCAAATCATGAAGGAATGCCGTTCGACTGGTGTTTGCCGTGCGCCTTACGCATACTATACAAGCTATATAAGTGTACGGTGACATACAGAATGAACCAGTCACCGACCAACCAACGACCTATACCATGATTGGAAGGTTTCTTACGTAAGGAAATATCGCCGGCCGGTATTTATATCTATACTACAATACGTGGATCTTCGTTTGAATACCTTACTTTGCACTGATTGCTTTCTTTGCCTTTTGATACTCATCATTTTCATATACATTAATTTGTTGCGTTGATAACTGTTAATTTCAAAATTAATTAGTACATAAACATATCCTTTTTCCTGTTACTAAAGAGAAATTGTATCTTGCATAAGATAGAGATCATTCCCTATGGAAGTTTTTTAGTTACTTTCTACCTTGGTCGATCTTCAGACCTTAAATTCTTATGATATCCTTGGCCGATGATAGCTGAATATAGATTTGACTAACATTTAATTGGTGTTTTCAATCTGGTGATGGTGAACTGTGCCTAGATATAGAGGTAACTCCGTAATAGGACTATGGTTCAAAATTTTATTAGGAACTTGATTTGACTTTCCCTATTCGGACTGTTGACAGTACTTCGTATTTTGTTTCTATTATATTATACTGTTTAGATAAAGTTGCAACTTTCTGAACACTCAAACTACACTAGAACTAATCATTTTCTACATTGGCGATAGCTTAAATCTGACTATCTCTCGTAAAAACATTTCGCCATTAACAATAATAAGTGACATGTTGTTGATGTTTCTTCTTTATCACTACCATTGATTCACTTGATGATTAAAACTTTTATTGTATAAAACACTTTTAAGGTTTATGTTCTTTCAGTTTACGAAGCATAAACCCTGCTTAGTTTAGTTTCTAGGAGTAAACTAATAAGCCCCAACTGCTTTAATTCTCAGTTCATTTTAACTGTCAGCATGTCATAAGAAATAGTACCTATGTGATTTTATCAAACACTTATAGGAAAATGAATCGATAAAAAAATATGTTTATGTGAAATTTTCGCGATGATCCGGCTTATTTAATGAAAAATCAAATAAAAATTAGTCACTTCCACTTGCGTAGAACTTTGTGTCACTAACAAAGGATAAAGAAGGACATCAGTAAATAGTTAAACAATTTTATTTACTTTAAATATAGAGTAACATGAAGTTCATATAATAATTTCAAGAAGGCAATAATAGTGGGTAGAAATAGATAACTTTCATCATAGGAATTTATTTCGAATTGTTTATTATGTATCATCGCCTACGTAAATTTACGCCATAGAATTTAAATATGCGCTACTAATGTGTAATAACTTCTATTGATCAGGAGTTACAGATCATGCAGTTCGATTTATTTGTTTATTATGCACAAATTCATTAAGTGAAGGTTAAATTTGGAGTGACTTTAAATTGCAAATATTAACATACATATTTATTTCATAGCAATTGTATAAACACACTGAAATAAAGATATTGTAAAATCAAGCATATTATGTTTATTTCCCGATTATTTTATACGTATGGTCAAACATATTTAGCTTTGTTTCTAACAAAGTCACGAAAGTTAAGTTTTATTTTAGTTTCTGAATTGATGCAAAGTTATAAATGAACAAACTGAGATTAGTTTCGAATCGACTGAAAACTAAATTAAAAAACTGAATTTAAGAGTGTAAAACTTTGGATTTTTTCAGCGTATAAATCTAAAACAAATTTTTTTGTAGGATTACAAGAAATATTTTGTCTGTCTAATTTCACATAAAATTATTAATTATCAGGCCTGTTAAATATTGATCATGTCTATTACTATAAAAAATACATATTTGACTAAATGGAAAATTTTAAATCTGCATAACTTTTATTAAAAAAATCGGAGAATAATTTACAAACATTTTTTTGTAACAAAAATCATCAAAATTTGGCAAGTCTAAATTAAAATCATTTTGAATTTAATATTCCTGTAAAGAAATATATTTAGTGTCCTGCATATGAAAGATGAGCAAGATAATAAGTAGGATTCTTTTAGGAATCTTATTTTACAAGTTGTTTATGTAGGAACCTATAAACGATTATACATATATATATAGGAAACTTTAAAAGATGCTATGTTGTCATTTTTAACACTCAGGAAACCCTGATGCTGAAGCATAAAATCCTTTATACGATCTTATAAAGTATTTTGAAACATTAACTTGTATAAGTTCCTTTAAAAGAATTGTGAATGAAGAAGAGTAGTATAATTTTATATACTTTTATCAAAGTTCGATTATTATACTTAGAATAGTGTGACACCAGTAATGGAAGAGCGTATTACAATCGGCATCAGAATATGCAAATTTGGTAAGCAGCCACTGGTGCTACAAATCACTTTGGCATTTGAGATTATCTATTCAGAGGTGGGCTGAAACCACTTCGGAATTCCCGATTAACAAACGACGGTAAATCACGAAATCACTCCTGGCGTTACTCTATTTACATCGCCTCGATATAGTTCTCTCACGGAGAAAATCTTAGTCCCAATACAGTATAATGGCTGAACTTGAATTTAGTTTTATTTCACTAAAATTCTGCATTACGTGGCATCTACATTTAGTAACAATTAAATATTTTATTGAGAAAGAAAATTACCACTGCGAGTAGTAAGATACCACCTGTCCACAACAAAGATAGCTGATGCCAGATAGTTTTTTCATATGGAGTGCAATGTAAACAAGTGGAGTCTGAAATTTGTTTCTTAGGCGCTGTTAATTAAAAATACGTTAACTTTAAGTTAAATTATAGTCTTTTTATTCATTAAAATAGTTGTCTCTATTATCACATTATAATTTACATTCACAAACACTTAAAAATTTAAATTTTTATAGAAATTTTGAATTGTCATGTACAAATTACATCAATTTACTGTTTGACATAAGACATATTGGATAGTTCCTATAGAGTAATTGATAGGGGCGTTTTGTAAATTTAAACTTCCAAGTTGCATTACTATAATTATTCGTTCGCAATGTATGGTCCTAATGGACTGCGGAATTTTGTGTAATAAATAAATAAATCTAAATATGCTAAATTTTAGTATTGACAGTTTGTTTTTATTTTTAGTGAGCACGCTGGGCGTAGTGACGGCGACATGAAGCATGCAGCATGCGTGGTAGCGGTGTCACGGCTGCGCGGTCCTGCCTTCAACCTCTGGTGTCCGCCAGCCGCTATCTCGCCGTACACGCCCTTCCAGGAGATCCTTTTTATTTCATCGTCGAGGTACGGACTTAACATTATCTTTTAAATTCATTATTTATAAATTAAATTTCTTTTCTATTTTTCAATAATTTAATCTTTTCAAATTATATTATTTATAAGATAGTAACTTTAATTTTACAAAACATTACAAACTCAATCAATTTGTAATATCTTACTTAATCCTTTGATGCCCACTCTGGGACATATGTGTCCCAGAAACGAAAGATTGAAATACCTAATTAAAATGGTCTGAAAAAATTCTCTGTACCCACATAACACGGGTCAAAACGACCAGAAAACGTATGTTTTTTTAATCATTTTTTTCATAAAATAAATACAGTTTTTTATTTGGACACTTTGGTATCTTAAAGTGCTCTATTAAATAAGTAAGATATAAAATTTGTGATAAAAAATATTTAAAAAATCAGGCCCAAAGCAACAGTTCTTCGGACCCCATATTAAAAAAATTTCTTTTGCGGTGGTCAAGATATCTTTTGACTGCTTCATCTAAAGTCAAAATACAAAAAATTTTCTGTTGATAAGTGGACATACCTCGTGATTGAACGAAGGGTTTTTAAAGAAATTGGAATTTTGACAGTGTCTTTTGTCAAAAATTACCACTCTTAGAAGCATTAAGACCATGTAAAATCGTTTCTAATCAATAAAAAAAGAACCCTTCAGGGGCCGTTCAAAAAATACGTAACGCTTTTTGGGGGGAGGGAGGAGGTCAAGCTATTTGTTACGGTCAGCAGAAAAAATGGCGCTAATGTATACAACATTGCGTTACATGGGGGAGGGGGGGTCCAAATTTCCGAAAAATAGCGTTACGTATTTTTTGATCGGCCCCTCATTCAATCACGAGGTATATTCACCCCTAACAGAAAATTATTTATATTTTGATTTTAGATAAAGCAGTCAAAAGATATCTTGGCCAAACGCAAAAGCAATTTTTTTTAATGGGGTCCGAAGAACTGTTGCTATGGATCTCTTTTTTAATATTTTTTATCACAATTTTTATATCTTATCTTATACTTATTTAATAGAGTTCTCTTTGACTTAACATCATAGGGTGCAGAACAGTTTTTACAATTTATTTTATAAACAGTGTTAATATTTTCAGATTATTTATTTGTATCTTTTGCCTTTTGCTTCCTCATAAAGGAAGCCTTATAGTGATGTCGATTTCCGAATTTTTTAGAACCAATTATTTTTACAAATTTTTTTTTTCAACAATTTTTTAATTTTTGAAAAAATAATTTTTGGATTTTTTGAAGTAACTTTTTTCTATATTAAAATTTTTATTAATTCTTGTCAAAATTGCATTCCTGACATAAAAACGAATCGATTCATGTATATAAAGTATATATTTTATCAAAATTTATAGAATTAATAAATATTTTTAATTTTCACAAAAAATTGAAATTTTGTATTTTTTGACATTTTATCTTAACACTTTAAAATAATTATTCTAAAATAAAAAATCTGTCCGCGCAAGCGCGGACACATTCTCATCCGCGCTTCGCGCGGGGGCTCGCTTCGCTCGCAAGTTTCAGCGCGCCTCGGGGCGCGCGATTATTGATCGTCGCGCTTCGCGCTCCGGCGATTATTTCGCACGTCGCGCTCCGTGTGTTGTTGCGCGCTTCGCGCGCAAATGGCTCGCTTCGCTCGCCGGGGTCTGCAATTGTTGTGCATTATTTATGTTTTTGTTTCCTATTATATGTTTCATAAAACAGTTTTTTTTTCTTAAAGTTACTACGACTTTAAGGATTACATTCTCATCACATGTTTAAGTTTGCTGATGATTGCGATATTAAGTGAATTTAAATGTATATTTTTGGTCTTGATGATTAAAATTGTAAAGTTATTTTTAATTATACTAACTCCCTTAGTAAAAACATGATTTGCAGAAGCAGCTAAAATATTTTTAAAGAATTAGTATCAAATTTTTTGTGTAGTGTAGACCGGAGCGTAATGACTAACTTTTCACTCTTTGTTTATTTACTCAGACATTTTTGTTTTAATTAAGTGTTTATCTCCTAGAAAAGTTACTCTGGTATATTACTTTCTCATATGTGATGAGAATGTAAAAAACCATTTCCAACAAGATATGACCAAAAATTGAAATGTAAAAAGGGGTCACACCAGCCCAACTGTATTAAAAAAATTTCATTGATTTTCTAAAATGTTATATCTTTTATGAATATATTTTAGTTACAACATTTTAGAAAACCAATAAAATTTTTTTAACCCAGTTGACCTCGCCTGACCCAAAAACTTAAAAAAAATTAAGTTTCTATGAAAAAATGTTGTAGAGAAAAATTGTTTGTATTTTTCTAATCGAAAGTAATATAAAATTAAAAATATTGAAATTTGAAAAAATTGAATTTTCAAAATTTTGAAACTACTGTAGTTTGTGTAGTTTTCGACGAAAATGGCTGGCTAACGAACTCGATCTGTATTTTAACAGTAACTTTGTGCATGCAAAGTTGCAAGTTGATGCAATAAGTTTTTCAAGAGTTATCGTAGGGACACCATTGTGTCTACAGACAGACACGAAGACAGACATACAGACAGACACTTTTTCTAGACCATGTTTAACAGACTCAGGGGACCCCAAAACGTCGAGATTTCAAAAAATTAGCGAAAGTCAATTTTCGACCAAAACTAATACTTTCTCATGTGATAATAATGTAAAAATGATTAAAAAAAAAAAATATATTCAAATAGTGCAATTGAAAATGAAAAAATCATATTTCGAATTTTATATCGGTTAACCAGAACTCAAAAAAAATTTGTTTAATTTAGAAATACTAAAAAATTAAATTTTTAATAACTTCAAAAAAAATTTCTGAGTAATATGTAAAGCAATATTTCTAAACAATGTTGAGAGACAAAAAAAAATATTTTAATATGAAAATAAAATTTTTTAATTCTAGATAAACCGTTTGGCTAAATCTGGCCCAAAAACTTAAAAAATATACCTGGCCCAAGAACTTAAAAAAAAAAAATTAAAAAATTCATAACTTTTTTGTTTTTTGTTGTACTGAAAAGTGTCTAAAGGAAAAGTTGTTTGTTTTTGCACCAAATTTAAGGAAAAAATTTAAAAAAAATATTTTTTTGAAAATTGTAAAAAATACAAAATTTTGAAAATTTCAAAATTTTGTATTTTTGTTGTTTTTCGACGAAATGGGCTGCCCAACGAACTCAGGCTTCATTTTTATGGACTAAAAAAGTGTGCCAAATTGCAAGACGATTCATAAAAATTTATTCGAGTTATCGTGGCGACAAATTTTTCTACAGACAGACGACAGACAGACAGACAGACAGACAGACGGACAGACACTTTTCTAAAAACCATTTTTTTGGAATCAGGGGGTCATGAAACGTAAAGATTTAGTAAAATTAGATATTGCTCAAAATCGCACAAATCCAAGACTTTCTCATTTTTGATGAGAATGTAAAAACAAATTTTATGGAAAAAATCAAAAAAAGGCAGAATTTTTGAAACTTTTGAGTTCTTTCTTGTTCCTAATTTTGTATTTTTACCTAAATTTGGCATCTAAAAGAAAAAAAGGAAGGTTTCAATATGTTCTTAATGTTTTCTCATGTTTCGGCTAATGCTTCACTCACTATAAATCTCAATTTTTTGCACTTTTTTGGAAAAAAATTTTTTTAATTTGTGTAAAAGATGCAATTGTCGATTCTAATGTTAAGAAAGGTGTATTAGCATAATGTGAACTAATTTTTATTAACACGGCCCCAATATGACAAATTTTCTACTGAAGAGAAGGCTGACAAAAAGTCCAAAAAAAGCAATAAATAGCAAATTTTTAAAAAATTAAAAAATTCATAACTTTTTTGTTTTTTGTTGTACTGAAAAGTGTCTAAAGGAAAAGTTGTTTGTTTTTGCACCAAATTTAAGGAAAAAATTTTAAAAAAATATTTTTTTGAAAATTGTAAAAAATACAAAATTTTGAAAATTTCAAAATTTTGTATTTTTGTTGTTTTTTGACGAAATGGGCTGCCCAACGAACTCAGGCTTCATTTTTATGGACTAAAAAAGTGTGCCAAATTGCAAGACGATTCATAAAAATTTATTCGAGTTATCGTGGCGACAAATTTTTCTACAGACAGACGACAGACAGACAGACAGACAGACGGACAGACACTTTTCTAAAAACCATTTTTTTGGAATCAGGGGGTCATGAAACGTAAAGATTTAGCAAAATTAGATATTGCTCAAAATCGCACAAATCCAAGACTTTCTCATTTTTGATGAGAATGTAAAAATTAAACAATTGGTATATATTATATTGAGGAAGCTTAATGATCATGAAATGAACAACTTGTTTAATTAGATTATGGTTAATATTATTGTTTTTACTTGTATTTAATAAGATATTTTCAAAATGGCGTGCAAGTTTAAAAGTCTGAACAGTAACGTAAAGAAAAACTTTTTGAAGAAAATAAGCCAGATTATATTAAAATCTGATAATTTAAAAAAATTCTATAAAAAAAAGTTATATAAAATTCTATCAACTGTAACAGAATCAGAATAACTTATTCTTTAATTCGTAACATTATGGTTTAAAAATCCTCTAAACATTAAAATAAAAAAATAATGGAAAATGTCTCGGCCAGCAAGACAAAATAGTCATTGCCTGTTTGTACGGTGATTGATCATGAATTTAGATATAGTCATTGTCATTAAAAATTGCTGGTAATTCGTTCAAATCTAATATAATATTTAAAATTAAGTTAATTTTAGGTTCAGATGAAGTCATTTGTACTGTTTTCGAAAAAATGTTGTTACTTTAATAATAGTGTCAATATACGTTTTGTTTTTTACATCTTGAACACAAATTTAAGCAAAATTAAAATACTTGCTTAAAACAAAACTTTTCAATAATATTTAAAAAATAAATGTTATGGTGCATGTCAATAACTGTTGGAGGGGCAACAATAACTGTACCGTTTACTCCTACTATTATTAATAACATTTTAATCATTTAAATGTTAAT